TACTTGTACTCAGTCTTGAAAAAACTGGTATCGGGACACCCCTATATATAATGTTAATAATATTACAAGTGATTCCCTTTAAAAAGGAGAAAAAGAGAAAAAGACTCAAACTCCTGACAGGAGAGATGAGAAGTTTATAAAGCTTAAAGAAAATGATCTTATTATTAAATAAATGATCAATTATAGTTTGTTTTTATCCCTGAGGCTCAATAATCAAATGTTTAATAATTTGACATCACTTCCTGCTTCCTCTGATCCACGAGGCGAGGTCGTGTTATTCTGGTCTGACCAGCTCATGTTTACACTGTAAACAAATAAAAACAACAAATAAAACCTGTGAGGCTTCAGAACAAACAGCTCTGTTTGGGTTTCAGGTGTGGGACCAAAACCTGCAGGAGCTCATCTGGCTTCAAAAACTCTTCCTGAACCAAGAAATCAAGACTTTAATCTGTACATAAAGTTTCAGTTTCAGATGAAACCGTTTAAAGTTAATAATCCCTGATTTATTTAGTAGAAAAGCTTTTCTAAATCTTCTTCCTGCTGCTGATCAGAACAACGTGAAGAAGAATAAACAGAAAATAAAGTTCAGAACAAAATGTACGTTTCAGTCCAAACGTCTTCATATTTGTGCCTCAAATAAAAAAAAAAAACTGGTTTTAATCAGATTAAAGTGACGACTTTGTTTGATCTTTAAAGACTTTAAACATTTAAACAGAGAAATGTAATAAAATATAAACATAGACCTCATTTCTGAAACGTCAGCATCCTTCAGAAAGTTTAGGAAGAAAGCAGCTGACTCAGCACTGAGCCTGAAGAGCTCCTGGCTAGTCACAACGCTTCATTTAAACTCTTTTATAGACTTTATACCGTTTTTATTTATGCTTTATAGATTCTAGCAGGCAGCAGCAGCTAGCTGTAGCCCTTCCTGTTTGAAGACCATCGTATTTTTACTGTAAAACAGATAAATGTGAAAACAGTTTCTGAAACAGAGCTTTCATTTTGATGATTATGAGACCACAGCACTGATGAGCTAATGGCTAGTCTCCATGCAACGAATCAAACTGAGGCCTCTGAAAGAGTCATCTACAGCAGGTAAGATATTTACTGTTCAGCTCTTCTCCACAGAACAACAC